CTGTAATTATCATTAGCTTTGAGTCTTTTTCTGCTCATTTTCAGGTCCCTGGGTGAATAACTGCGTCGGTGAATACAACCAAAAATACTTTCTTCAGTTCCTTTTCTATGTCGGCCTATCCTCAGGCTATGCTTTAAGGTATGTTTTTGTGATATTTTAATTAATTGTGATTAAAAACGAATATTTAAATGAATTACGAATAAAAACCGCAGTTGGAGGAGAAAGGGTATAATATATAAGGATAAAGTGTAGATAGCTTTTGAAATGCCATTGCTGTATTTTGAGCATCGTTACCTCGCCCAAATACAGCCACTTTTTAATCACAGCAACTTTACTACCTTGTATCTGTTTTAATTTGTTAAAAAGGCTGAAATTCTCATCTGGGTTTCGAGTATCGACGTCGTTTTGAAAGTTAAATTTCAAGTTTGTCTATGTCCTTAAAAAATTCCCCTCATTTAACATATCTTCAGGATTGCTCATGGCTATTTGCAGCTTTCGTTCCCGTAACACTTCATTGTAGTAGTTTATTTAGTTTGGTAGCAACTGCGTGGATCTATCACGATGAGTACGGCAGTACTGGTGCAAAAGGACCCTATGGCCAAAATGTACATCATGCAAAAATGTAACTTTTTGAGTTGCTTCTTAGCAGATTCTGCTTCGCCTTTCCCAAATGGTTTTGCTCTTTTTCCATTATACCTGAGTTATTGCTTGGAAGCTCAAAATGGTTCTGTTCTAGCAACATTCTTGGATGAGAATCCACAAAAAATCCCAGAAATCTTATGTCTAAGAAAAAAATCTACCTTTTGGAATTATCTCGCGCAAATTCACCTCATGTTTCATTCCCCATGAGAATTTGAGATACTCAAAAATTAGTACTGGTAGCACTTCCCAGCAGTACCAGCCACTGGAAGGTTTCTGAGGGTTGCTCAGAAGTGAGCTGATGGCGTATTCGATTCGTTGACATGAAAGGGCAGTGGGGCTCCTGAGGTGGGAGGGGGCAACCGGAAGTGCAGAAGAGAGCTTTCTTCACATTTAGCTTTAGACCGGAACTTTTGTAGCATTGGTGCCACCGGGGGGAGGTTATCACCCCTGGATCCGTCAGTGGTTGTGCTGTTGTTTTTTACTTTTATGGTACTCACATTAGGAACATCACTAAAATCGAATGCCCACACTGATTGTCCGGACTGTTCTGGTACCGTTGCATAATTGATTTACAGGAGACTTTCCTTTTCGGCCTCATGATCTGGAAGAGCTAAATATATATGCGTTTTTGCAGTTTGCATACAATCTTCCTGTCAATTGAAAGTGCACTGTTTGGATTATTTGTTCTGGCAGTTTCTTGCGACCAGGTAACAACCATCTCTGTTGGAGTTTTCGTCCAATACAAAAGTGAAATACTAAATGGCAGTTTTTTCCAAAAATCATTTTAGGTACAGGCAATTTTGAATGACGAAACAGCAGTGGAAGCGGTTCAGCGCAAAAATTTTCGTACTCCGACAATCTCGTTACGTTCCAAGACAGCTCTGATACGAGAAGTTTGTGGGAACGGTGAGTTCACATAGCTGAATTGATACCCCCAGATTTTTTTCGGGAAAGACTGCCTACCCATCCAGCAACTTTAGCCAGCCTTCCAGTCACCTTCACTGAGGGACGAAGGTCATCGGGCAGTGATACTTCGCTTATAGCAGCGCAATTTTGTTTCCAAAATTAACATGGGGTGGCAGAACACACCTCTGTTCACGTTCGTTCTGAAATTCGAGCAAGTTTGAAGATTCTGGGATCAATTCAAGTTTTAAGATTCGGGGATCAAAACTGAAACTTGGCTTTCCAAGTGTGTACAGTATCCAGAAACATCCACTAAAAGGAGTATGTAAAGTGCAGAAACATGAGATACTCCACCATTCATTACCCTTTCGAAGGATAGGGACGAAATTTGAGAACTTAAGGCAATACTAGTGACAAATGTCGGCAGTCTTCTTTTCTAAGTTAGCTTACGAAGCTGGTTGAACGCAGTTTGCCTACCTGGCTAACTATGAATGCTAGGTTTACCTGTACTGGGCTTTTTGATAAAATACCAGTTTTCCAGGTCCAGTGATATTCTGGCTGCTACCATGCTCAACTTCACCTTCCCAGCGGGATGTTATTGATTTCGCTAGCCGATCGCTTATCGTTTAGTTAATTGAGTGGCGCATGCTGCAGGTGCTTCTTCAAGCCTCAGATCTGATGCTTACTTGTTGTTCTTCCCTTCAAGCCAGTTGCCATTGTTTTGTAATCCTATTCTTTCTGCACCAAATTTCTCCATCGAATCTCTCAGTACAGCATTTTTGTTTAAGCTTTTTATGCTTTTTTTTAAAATTTTTCTTATTCGGTATTGGACTAATCCGTCCTACTTTTGTATAGAATTTTGCAAAACAGACGAGAATTCAAGATTTTTTAGCTTTTGGCTCTATTTTTATTGGGATTGTCTTTCTGCCGCTAAACTTTTATGGTACTGGAAAGCAGTTCCACCCCGGATTTAGCTGGGCTTTCCTGTTGTGATATTCGGCAAGGCGCAGTTGAAGCGAATAAAAATTGCATATCACCACGACTAAATTTCTCTGTAGATGCACTGTTAATTTGTTTCCGCTAAAATGTGTCAAAAAAAGCAATCCAGAATCCAAGTCCTAATTGACAGATCTGTTGTTAATTTGAGTTGTTTTTTCTTTATTTTTATATATTCTGTCGTTTCATTTTTTGGTTATCCGTGTGTGCTTCAGCATGGTACCTGTATTCCGATTTTCGTTAAAACGATGGTTTTTTTTTTCTTTTATTCATTTGAAAAATAGCTTGTGCAATTCCAACGGGTGATAGCTAATAATCACGGTAAAAACAGATGGTACATGAGTATAACGAATTAGAATATTGATAAAGCAGTAAAGTAGTAATCAGAAATTTGTGAAATATCGGCTGTGTTTTTGAAAAACATGAAAAAATTAGAAAATCTGGGCAGGAA